GGTAGGACCTTGAGGAACGATTGTTCTAGCCAGTATAGCTCGATTGGTTCATCACGATATGCAAGCCCTACCACCACGTCAAGGTAACAGCAACAGTCGGGTAATAACAGACAAATCGTATTGATAAATGTTATACACTGACTACTCAACAGAATGCACTTTACATGATTGATGTAATTACCTAACAATCTTTTACAAATTCTTACCAAATAATACAATAAAAATTTATGTTCAAAATTATAATCTATAATGTATCATTGTATTGTCATTATTATTAGATCTATCTTTAAACTAGATCTTGATATATTCATGCTATTAAAAATTATACTTACCAGTCAATTATTTGATATATCTGAATGTAAATATCAAGCTGTGTAGTTTCTTTTCCTTTTTTACATGTTTCGAAAAACTTTTCTTTCACATATAGAAACATTATGTAATATAACAATGTATTTCCAAGTGCATATATATATATATATATATATATATATATATATATATATATGTTATATCCCGTGGAGAATTATGAATGGTAACTTTGAGGACTATTTATGGACCGATACATGTATATTTCCTATTGTATAATTGTTAAGTAACTAAACTATACATATTCGTGTCACTCTTATTATAAGCTTTATTTTGACCTATAGACTATTATTATACGATTTACCATTCTTGAGTTCTCCCCAGTCCATTAATTACTGTTCCCCTATTCACAGCCACATTTGGCCAAATCTTGTACAAATGTTATTTTATATTTTATGGTATGATGTGATCAGTTTGATCGGTATATAAACCCAGTATGTTTGAGAATAATCATTCATATTGCAGATGGTGTTATTGGTGTTCTGGACTTAACTGGCTGGGATAGACAGAAAGCAGGACTGATAAATACTCAAGACTAGTTCTACGGTTTTTCGTGTATCATTGCTCTGATCGATGATTCACTCCTCTCTGATTGACGGGAATCATCACGTCATATATTAAACAAGGCACGCACTTAATCGATATAACAATATATCAGTAGGTAAAGTAAAATGTATTCAGTATTCGAGGAATAAGTAAACTGTAGAAAACAATTTGACCAATAATGAAAATCTATCATATTATTTAAGTTTAGAGAAGATGAGTTAAAAATGATATCACTGCTGGAATTTCTTCACTTGTTATTTTTTTTAATGAATAAATGAAGAAAACCATAGAAACTAATCAGGGAAATGATTTACTTGAACTTGAATGATTATCTAATTTGAACGTGTCTTTTTACAATATTTCAAATGTTCTATGAAGATATAAGGTAAAACTATTATTATATTTTATCTAAAATGTTTATTTACTAACAAATGATTGTCAAGGGATTGAAATGGTTATCAGTTAATATATAAATAAAACTTCCCTCCTTTTAACTATATTTAGAGTTTAAATTCGCGTGATATGGTTTTGTTTGAATGTTCCCATTTATGTTTAAGACTGCAATTGATCAGTCTCTTATTGGCATTTGTGCATACTATACAGATTGCCTCGATAAAGCCTTAATTCACAAGCATTATAAACAAAGATGGATGGTGTCTAGCAGTGAAATCCAGCATGCACGTTTGATCCTATTCGGGACTCGTCAGACCCATGTAACTGTATCCCAGAGTTGTTGTTAACTCTGGGACTCGAAACCCGTATCATTTGCCTCAAACTCCATCGCGTTATCTACTTAGCTACTGAGTCCTGATAGCCACCTACTTTTGCAATGGGGTGAAGTTTATTCCACTTTGTATTGTTTGCTTAAATCTTCTCACTGACGTCTCAGACTGTAATTGATCAGTCTTTTATTGACATATGTCTCAGAGTGAACAATAACACTGAGATTCAGGTACATCCGACTGACGAGTTTCAAATAGGACGAAACACGCGTCTTCCATTCCACTGCTAGCCACTATCCATCTTTGCTTATATTTAGAGTTATTTTTTATACTTTGCTTACCATTTAATTACATCTTTTTTTGCTTGAAAAAACAGAGAATTATACTCAAACTAAGTATCTAAGCATATCTGTAAATATTATTTTCAGAATATATTATATTATTATTATTATATGTTGTAGATTTTCTGTGTTCAGTACAATTAAACAGTTTAAAAGTGATAAAACAGATCAAGTTTTGTTTTGCTTAATTAAGTATCATTATTATTATTGTTCTTAGCCTGTTTTGATAATTATTTCAATATCTAATTTCAAACGTGTTTATTATACAACATAAAAATTGGTGAAAACGTTAAATTATTGAAAACAATTTATGTAATTATAAATAATACGTTTTCTTTCTTCTATTTGTTTTGCATGATTCTTCTTCATCTTTCACCTACTACATGACCATTAAGAGTTAAGAAGAATTAAGTTAGCAGATCATACCATGTTTATATCGTTTTTATTTTAGTAAATGTTGATATAATAAAAGTATCTATTTGTTATTCACTTTGAAAAGTTCGTCACTATTGAAATTGGTTCCATATTAATAAACTATAAGTAAAATCTGTTAACCAATAAGCAGGTTATTAGATTATTTGAAAAGGAATTCATGATCAATGTATAGTAAATCATGAATTCTTTTTTCAAATAAAAAGGAATTCAACAACTGGAAAGAACTGCGAAGGATCGCCCAGGATAGGGTTGAATGGAGAATACTGGTGTGAGGCCTTTGCTCCTCCATTTTGAAAACATGTGGAACTCTATCAACTACTTTAATAATCAGAAAATAATGAAATATATATTGCTTAAAGCATTTATTTATTACAGAAATCAAAAGATTGGAATTTAATATGTTTCAACCTGAAATTAGATTCCCAACAAAACTTAGGTTTAAATGTAGAACAGCAAAAGAGTGAAAGAATAAAAATATATACATCAATATTTTGTTAATAATGCTGTTAATCTACATTTCTTTTTTAGATTAATACAATACAAACAACATCCTAATCCACTATTGTTTGTTTGAATCTTCTCATTGATGTTTAAGACTGCAATTGATCAGTCTCTTATTGACATATGTGCATTCTGTGCAGATTGCCTCGATGTTGCCTTAAGTTATAAATATTATGAGCAAAGATGGATGATGACTAGCAGTGGAATCCAAGACTTACGTCTCGTCCTATTTGTGACTCATCAGCTGGATGTAACTACATCCTAGAATTGATGACCACTCCGAGACTCGAACCTAATACCGTTTGCTTCAAATGCAATCGCGTTATCTACTCAGCTACTGAGTCCTGATAGCCACTTGCTTGTACTATGGGATAGAGTTTAAATTCATCTTCATCTGTGTATATTTTTCTGCTTAAAAACACTGTTAGAAAACTGATAAAAAAATAAATTAATATTATTCTAGATTATTCTGGAATACAGAAGAAAATTAATCGTTTGTAGATTATAAGGTCTCTATAAAATAACCTCAAAGCTGTTTTAATATCATTCCATCTACAGTACTCAGTTACAGAATGAATGTATCTAGTGTAGTTTGTCTCACCATTTAATTATTCCAGATTTTTAATAATTACACCAATGTTATACTCTCTGTATATTGAAAAAAGTGGGTCGGAAACTTTTTTTATTTCATTTGATCACTAACGTTATATCGTATGCTTTAAACATATTCATAGCTTCATTGGATAAAAGTTTACGATCATCACTGTAGGAGACTCAGTAAATGATGATAATTAAAAGGTAATACGTTGATCTTATTGTACATTACTAAAAATTCTGTCTTATCATTAATTAACTAATTTAATACTAGTGTGGTATGGTCTACTTATACCCACATAAGTAACATATGGTGATGATCAGACATAGAATGTATTTTGACAGAACATCGATAAGGAAAGAACAGGAATGAAGTGCAATCGATACAAAAATGCATGAACAATGAAATCATAGAAGATGGACTGATATTTGTAGAAGGAACAATCAAGATTGAGACAATTGATTGTTATTTTGCAACTTAACTGTTTACTGTATGGCTATCAGATTTTAGTTAGATAGTCAGTAATTTGTTCTTAAATACATCCGATTGTTCTCATCCCTGTTCTTGTTCACTACACTAGAACCTATGTATGTTAAGATTAAAAACAATTAATTCACTGCTTTACGTGTGAGTCAACGAAATTTGAAAATGAGAAGAACGAAGAATAATAGAATGTGTTATATTAGTGCAATACATTTCAAACGATCTGATCACACATATGACTTATTAAGAAATTTTTATATGGAAACAAGAAAAAGAACAAGAAAAATTAAAAACTAAGCAGAAATAAAGATAATAATGAGGTACACAAAAAATGTGAAAACCACACGAGCTAATAAATTACTATTGCCAGGTTGAGTTAGATGGCTAACAACAAATTATTTTTTGAACTCATAGAGGCGGTTTCACCTTCCGTATAGCCAAAGATTCAACAAATCTTAGCATACGTCCTTCAAAGCTTTTTTACGAAACAATAAGAGTTGACTTGAAATTAACCGTATGACTGGACTCAAACAAATGTTCCTCGACTGAGGAAGATATTTGTCTATCCTGTGATCATATTTGACCATTGAAATCTATTCGTTTTTGCAACCATTTACGTATGCGTTTGGCCACCCTTACTTATAGCTCATGATTGCTCCTCCCTATGTACGTGTTACATAAATGTAAATTAATAGACGCGATAGGATATGACACAATTTCAATTGAACTGCCTACTCAAACATTGCCTGTATTAACAGAAATGTTTATAGTTTGACATATCAAACTCTAACCAACTTTTATTTCATCAAAATAACTTAATTCTACATGAAAAGCATATTGTGGTTATTAAAGACTGTATCATCCCAAAAAATTTTCTATTATGATTGGCAAATGAAAGTAAGTTTTGATTGGTTTATTCAGTCATTCAAAATTAAAAAAAACATTAATCCAAATAGTAATTTCTAAGTTAAAAACTTGTAGGAATCTTTTTGACAGTATCATATATTAATTATTCAGAACAAATGTAATTGAGATTACGGATAATACTTCAGTAAAACATGAATGATAGTTCACATTATGATGAAATGTTCATAAACCAGTCAATGGGTGTAGAGATTGAATCATCCAGTACAGTTATGACTCTGATTGTTGCTGTAATTTACCCACTTATAATTATATTTAGTACAGTTGGGAACAGTATTGTTATATTAACTGTAACACGTAGTACTGCAATGAGAACAATAACCAATTTATTCATATCCAATTTAGCAGCATCTGATTTATTAATGAGTTTTGTAGCAGCTCCCGTAACACCAATTGTATTTCATATGAAAAATTGGAAATTACCTACATTTCTTTGTAAATTACTACCTGTTACTATGGGTGTTAGTGTTTATGTTTCAACCCTTACTTCAACTGCTATAGCTGCTGACCGGTATTTAGTTATTGTACATCCATTTAGAACACGTATGTCACAAAGTATATGTGGACTTATCATAGCTGGTGTATGGCTTATTTCTGTTCTTATATCTTTACCATTGGGAATTTATACAAAAATTGGGATTGATCCAAGAAATAATGAACCATCCTGTATGGAATCATGGCCACATTCGTTATCTAGACCAGTGAGTGAGAACTATTGAAATTTTTCCAATTATTATATTTTACTGTAAATTTGATTGATCGCGCTCGCGCGCGAGGCTGATAGGTTCTGGGTTTGAATCTCGTGAGTCGGGGTCGTGGATGCGCACTGCTGAGGAGTCCCACAATAGGACGAATTGACCATCCAGTGCTTCTAGGTTTTTTATGGTGTTCTAGCTTCAACTGACTCATGATTTCAACTATATGAACAAAATGTTCATGTATATGTATATACCAAAATTGTGTTTATTAGGTACCCTGATCAATAAAATAAATTCTTCGTAAGATACATTTTATACAGTAACGTGGGACTAAATATACTACTATTTATTCAGACAACTCACCATCAAAATAATCTTATAAACGCATTTATATTAATTATTTATGTAAGAAAATGAGACCAACTGAAATGTTAACTGAATTCATTTGTATTCATGTTTTTTTAAACACAGAACGGAGTACACTGAACTGCACACTGTAGAAATTTGCGAAAATACATAACTCTTGACGTTAACAATATTAAGAAAACTATAGATTATGTATTCATTTAAGTCAGTACCTTACTTTAACAATTTCACAGTGGTAAATTATTTTGATGTGAACATTCTATTCAATGAGACTGAATCCATATTCACAAATCGAAGATAATTATTAACTGGCTATCTTGATGTGCATAAAGTCATTTATAAAATAAATTTGTAAAATCTTAGCGAATGAATTCGAAGTCAATTTAACGTTTCGCCTGGCAATCTGGTTGAAACTTTTTAAAGGGAATATATATATTCCTTGAAAGAGCTTGAACCAGATTTCCATGCGAAACGCTGGATTTACTTCAAATTCATTCGCTGAGATTTTACAAATATATTATTCCTGTTTAATGTCTTACATCAAATACTGTGAAACCATTCGCTCTAATTTAGACAAAAGTTCTTATATATCGATTGTAAAATGTTCACAATGATTACTTTCAAATATTCACTATAACAATTATATATCTTTCTATAACTGTTATGGGGAAAAAAGCTACGGTAGCTATGGTCACAAAGTAGCTGAAATGATCACTAAACACCAGTTGACAATAAATAAAAAATAGTAACAAAAATTAATTGATCGTTTTTAAATCGGATCATCAATTTGGCCTTTTTGATTCTTATAATTTAATTATGAAAAAGCAAGTACAGTCCTAACAAAATGATATGACCTTTTATGCTATTTTAGTTAAAACTTGAGCTTGATTGGCTAAACATAAGATAATAAAAGGAAACAGAACGGAAATGAAAAATGATGTTTAATATGGTAATTAGTTAAATGTTCCGTTGGTTTGAACACACAACTCAGATTCTGTTTTTTTTATAAAAATAATTCCAATAAATCTTAGAAGACTTTGGATAGATTCTTCATTAGACGTATAAAAGAATTTCAATATGTTGTACTTTGTTTTTAGAAATAGTGGTACTTCCTATATCTAGACAGAATCTTGGTCAAACTCTCCTATTTGCTTTAACAATTGAACTACTTAAACAGATACAGGTAAACTCAAAAGCATAGTTCGTAGTAATATACGAAAGAGTAACTATCAGCTTTTAATCGCTTTATTGAACATTAATGTCTTCAAGCACTTTAGTTGTAGGATAAATTCTGAATATAGCGCTTTCCAGTTTTGCCTTGAATTGTTTCAACAACAATATTAATTCTGTAGTTCATATAAATTAACATGGATTTAATTTCAGTGCATTCTTTGGTTTCTCTGACTACAGTTTGTTATTAATCACTCAAAAAGCTGTAATTATTAGAATGAACTTACCTATCAAATTCCAAATATAAAACAACGAATCAATAGGCATAACTGGATATATATATATAACATATATAAACAATATATATAACATTTATGTCGTGAACTTTTCCAAATTTTAAATGCTGAATTCTTTATGAGTTATTTAAAAGTATGATTGCTAGTTGGAACATTTAATGATTATAAATTTGACTAAGTCAAATGTGAACTTAAACTTGGAGTTGTAAAGCGAAATATAGAGATTATTTAGTGCTCCCTGGTTCCCAATAAGTTTTCTGTCGCTGAAATGTCCGTTTTGTTTTTCTGTCTGTCTAAGAAATAAGTACATCACAATTATTTTAAATCTTAATATGATGTCTGCATTTGTGAATGAATCAACATTTAATTATCATCAAAATAATCTTCGGGGTATCATATTTGAATACTATGTATTTATTATGTTACTTCAGTTCAAGTCGTTTTATTTAACCAGTCAATCAAAATTATGATAAACTCCAATTTATTTATAAGTTATTTTGTTTTCTACACTTTGACTACCTAAATAACTCATCTCTATGAAACAGTGTGTGATCTGTAAATGTTTTACTTAATTCGGTGTTGTCTTTATAAAATCATTCACTCGCTCACTCACTAAATACAACCAAATCTTTTAATGTTCATCTTTGAGATATCAATATGCCTATGTATTAAAATAACAGAAAAAATACCCAGTAATTTCAATATATATTCTTTATTGAAATCTTACATTTTGTTTGAACAAATAATAATCATCCTCAGTTACAGATTCATGCTATTGATTGGTCACATTCCATGCAGTTGAACTATATACAGGAACTATCTAGTGAAAGTATCTTGGTTGAATTTAATAGTAAAATATAAATGTATTCACAATATTGATCAATGTTACGAATATTTATTTTAACAGACTTTATGAACAGCTTTTTATGTTTGCAAAAGTAGTATTTTCAGTTGTTATCAATAAACTCTAAGATATAACTATTATTATTATTAATCAATATACCATCTAATCACAATTGATTGATCACTTACCGGTGATCAGTGCCATGTGTGTCGAGTCCGTCTTAGTGCTGATCGAATGCTATCGATTAGGTTGCAATGTGGCCACTAGTCTAGGTGGTTCGACACTGCATGCACTATGTTGAGATAAGATGGTTGACCACCTCCAACCACTATCTTATACCATCTAATGAACAATCAGAGTATATGAACTAGAAAAACCTTTCACTCATGTGTACCGACCACATCGATATTATTTCAGCACAAATTTGTCCATTTAATGCTTCATTATGTTTACTCTTGTTTATTGATGAAGTAACATCAGATTTCAAGTGTAATTAATTTTCCTATAAACAAACAAACAATAGCGTACTCATCAGTAGACGATAAAATAATGAAGATTTCTTTTTATGTAATAGTCTATTAATCCTAATCTCTAACTAACATAGCTGAAATACTTCATATTGGAATATGTTACAAAAAAAGAGTTTAGATGAAAAGCATGAAATAATAGTCTAGGATAGTTAGCTTCAATTATATATTAAATGTAACATTACCATTTTCTTCTTTTTCAATGTAAAAAGGATCAATTTATGTCTGACAATAGTTTTAGGTTTCAACGACAAGTCGAAAACAAAACTCTTCCATAAAATAAACTAGAACATAAGTCATATGACATAATTATACTAATGTTTCGATTAATCTAATTATTTGAGTTCTTTTAGGACCTAATCCTTAATGGAAATATTAATAAAAATATGAATCTTTTAACTAAATAAAGCATGTACACAATAGATTACCGACAATATTTATTTTATTTCTAATAAATTTCACATTTCATTATTTTCTATACGGGTAAACGTTTCAGTATACATTGCAAACAGGATGTTAGAAAACATTATTCACTGTTATTCTAACGGAGATATTACTCCATGTACACTTTTAAGACCAGTTGTAAACATAAGATTTTTGAAATTAAATCTTTTCATGAACATTTGATTAGTATAAGAAGGGACAATGGATAAGCTTAAACTGGAAAGAAAGACCAGTAGATAACTGGTGAGTTGTTTGAAGGTAAGTCATTCATCAGAAAGCACGAAAGTTCTCGTTTCCACCCCCCAATGATTCGTGAGTGTATGATAAATAATATTAAAACAATACATACAGGCAAATGACATTGTTTTCAAACCACGTCTGTTGTGAGATATGAACTCACTGAAGACAATTGGTGAATAGTTTCTCAACTTCGTGGATCAGTTGAAGTTAGACATTAACACCGTTGGATGCCAGCTCAGTGGTCTATCGGTTAAGGGCTTCGGCTCGAGACTGGTAGGTCCTGGGTTCGAATCTCGCTCGCGAGAGCAGGTTCGTGGATGAACGCTGCTGAGGAGTCCCATAATAGGACGAAACGACCGTCCAGTGTTTCCAGGTTTTCCATGGTGGTCTAGCTTCAATTGACTCACGCTTTGAACAATGAAAATTAGATATTAATCTGGTTTTACTTCATTATATATGTATGAATGTTTGTGTGTGTGTGTGTATGAAAATATTAGATCAATTAAGTCGGAGATCAAAATGAAATCGATTTTACAACTAACTATAATTGGTGAATAATATAAATTGATAGTAAAAAGACAGGTTGGCTAGTGTTGTTAAAATAGTTCATTAATTCAACATTAGAAATAAGCCAAACTTGGTTGAATAGACTTGGAAATAATAATCAGAAAACATTATCAAGGTTGTGTAATGAAAATTGTACAAATAATCAAATAATACACGATATAAATCACAAAAGTCAAAACCAGATGACGGCCTAATTGAAAACAATATTATGTGTCTATATTTATTGTTCTAACTCACACAATGGTAATTTTTTTAAATTTTAATACGTTGTAGTCACCTACAGGAATAAAACATCCTTCCAGTACTTCATAGATTTTTAATGGTTACCTAGTTAAGAAAAGAAATTAATTGTCAAGCTATGTCATGGATCATTTCTTTTTTTCTCAAAATATTAAAAGTCTACCGAACGGTCGTCATAGCCCTGTAATACTTCTTATGCATGATAATACAATGAATAAACATCTCCATTACTTATCGTTGACAATAAATACGTTCTATTACACTAGTTAAAACGATAAAAAATTATACAGTGCTAAATCATCCGTTTAA